ATGGAAATACCCAAATGATTGGCTGAAATTGAGTCGTAGTGGATAGCCTGTGGTGGGCCTTATGCAACGTAGGAGTGATGACCTAGTGAGGGCCATATGTAGAGGCATTGCTGTGGCAGGCTGTACACTAAATGTAAACTTATGCCAAGTGTAATTCTTATGCTGTATGTAATTGCACAGATGAGTAACCGAAAATTGTGATGTATTGGATAGCCCGTGTAGAGCCGTACGTATTGGAGAGAGGTCGTGAGTAATTGTTGAGCATAGTATGATAGGGTCGTATTTGACCCTAGTATGCTGGAAATTGAGCTGAGTTGCAGGGTAAGGGGCTGTATGAGATGTATCGATCATGCATGGCAATGTGGTTATGTAGATTTCAGGAGCCGTATGATGGCCAGGGAAAAGGAGAGGGCCATATATAATACCCTCTATATGAACTGGTCTAATATGTAGAGGTGTAGGCAAATAGTCAATTATAGCATGGACTGTGTATGATGTAACGGTGGCCGACTAAAAGGTCGAAGCCAGGGAAATTTAAATGACCAACATTATAAATTTAGTAAAAACAGGATAAAGCATATACTGCGCCCAAGATCATTCGTACATACAGTTGTAGTAAGGAAGGCTAGTTGAGGACATCAGAATAAAAAACAGACAATAATAGTGCAGTACAATTTTAACAAAGTGAGAAATGTTGAATTGATAACTGTAGGAGAACCACTCACATTTGCGAGAGCTATATAAGAGCTCTGCTTTAAAGCGCCTGGACAGTATAATCCCCATCTAAGGATATGAGGTGATGCAAATAATGCTGGTCCTCCAGATGCAGATATAGGTGATATATGTAAAGATACAAGAGCAGAAAAAAAACTCTGATAGTGTGGTAGGTATTGTAAGTTGAAATATAAAGAAGTAATCTACTTACAATCTTCAGAGCAAAGCCTGCTCTAGTTATCTCAACTTGGGTGGTATTATCCCCACCTAGGGATGTGGTAGCACCAGGTAGCAGTCAGATACAAATTATATATATATAAATATATATGTATATATATATATATATTGTAAAAAATAACTGTTTATTATAAAAAGCTAAGAAGGAGCAAGTTAAAATAAGGCACAAAGTCCTAAAATAAGTCCCACTTGACGCGTTTCGCCTCACCAGAGGCTTTATCAAAAGTGTGGAACAGTCCTGTAAGTATCCTGTATATATATGTCCAGATTGATTAAAGTGATGCGGTGAGGTGAAGGGTGAGTATGATTGGCGAGTCCATGTGTTCCACTTTGGACCGCACGCGTCATACCCGGAAATGACGCGGCTTGATCCAACCTTAGTGGTCATGTGCAGTATGCTGGGATGCACGCAGCGTCAATAGAGGTGTGCGTTGCGTTCCAAGCATTGAAACTTGGCGAATATTAAATACACAATCACGAAGGCAGTCAATAAACTTGGCGATGAGATTAATATATATGCATAATTCTGTGACTGTATTTGTTGAGTTTAACAAAACAGAATTTCCAAAGTGTGTTTTATTGCTTATTATAAAGTGTGAAGAATAAACAGCCACATAAAGTAGGTCTCAAATAAAACATTAATTTTCTTATGAGAGCATTTTATACTGGATGTTTTTTTTTTTTTTTTAAATATAATAACTTAATATAGAATAAAATAAAGAAAATGGACTTAGTGACCAAAATTTTGATACAATATATATTGAAGCTTAAGAATACCCTAATGAGGGCTTGAAAATACCTATAAAATAGTAGTAGTTAGGATTCTTTAGTGCAGGGGTTCTCAACCCAGTCCTCAGGACCCCCTACCAGTCCAGGATTTGGGGATTACCTGGGTGTGTCTCAGGTGTTTAGAAAAAGGGAAAAAAACACCTTAGACGCTAAGGTGTTTTTTTTTCTTTTTCTAAACACCTTAGACACACCCAGGTAAATCCCTAAACCCTGGACTGGTAGGGGGTCCTGAGGACTAACGTTGAGAACCCCTGCTTTAGTGAAACATATGCTTATTGCACAAAAAATTCTATATTTGGTAACTTTTGGGTTATATAATTGTTAAAATTATTAAAATTGTCACATTCAAAATGCATATAATAACATCCCACAATGTTATAGAGTGGGTATGAATAAAGGAGCCAGTGCATAGATAACTTCCAAACAGAAAGAGGTGAAAATACATAAAAAATTATATAATAAAAGAGGGAGGGAGCTAGGTAAAAAAAACAAATGGGAGACAAGTAGCCTATGTAAAAAGATGGCTGGAAAAAAAAATAATAATTGGGAATAGGACCAATTGATAAAAAAAAAAAAAAAAAAATTATAGAAAATTAAATAAATCAAATTCAATGTTGAGACCATTAGGGTGAAGGGTGTGTAAATAGTACACCCATTTCATCTCAGTCTTCAATATTTGTTTTACCATATCCCCTCCTCTCCAATGCTTATCAACAATGGCAATACCAGTAAATGTGAGTAATTTGGGTTCATTGCCATGTTCACAGAAATGTGAAGAAACAGAATGTTTAGCAAAGCCCTTTTCAATGTTTCTGCAATGTTCCACTATCCTCAATTTAAGGGGTCTAATAGTTCTTCCAACATATTGGAGTCCGCAAGGACACTCCAATAAGTAAACCACATTTTTACTGTTGCACGTAATTGAAGATTATATTAGCTTTAGTGTACTAATAATCTTAATTTTAGTAATGACAGGAGGCGAATATTTGCATATCTTTCTTTACTGAAAACTCCAGCAGCATAGAAACATAACAACCAATCAGAAAAAAGTTATGATGCCCATAAAAGGCCCTGTCTATGACATCACTTCCTCTTTCTTTGAAGCGAAACAATAAATAACAACAAGAGACATAATCATATTACGTCAACAGTTCAACAACATATTAGAATATCCAACTCCATTAGTTCCGTGATGCAGAGGTATGGAAGGTGAATCTTTGTCTCGATGAGAAGACGTTCACGCTGCAAGAAAAAGAAAAAGGTGAAAGGTATCTGGCGTGATAACTTGTCCACGTACAATAAGCATTAAGCATCTGATATACCAGCGAACATTAGAATGTGAAACATATCAATATATATTTATTCTAACGCAATGATATTTAAGAATCTATAAACACAACATAATGCAAGGTTCATGTCTAATATATAGCCAATACAAAACCCACAAGATACAGGTCTAAGTAGCAAACATACAAACCATACGTATTTACCTTCCTGAACATAAAGGACATATTCTGTTCAGCACGAGAAACATGGGAGGGATCCTATAGGGTGGAAATATTCGCCTCCTGTCATTACTAAAATTAAGATTATTAGTACACTAAAGCTAATATAATCTTCAATTTTACCACATGACAGGAGGCTTCATATTTGCATTTTTAATACTTTGAATTGACCAATGTGAAGGAAGCATGAGATGTTTGCCGAAAATAGAACGTTCTAAACGTACTCTCTCGCGCTCAGTCCGCGCAGCGTATAATGTTGGCTAGGGAAGCGTCGGCCGAAAAGGTTTGTGAGGCCGCCGCTCCCCTGACCGAGTGGGCTCCGAAACAAGGTTCGACGCTAAAGACAAAAAACCAGCGGACCCATCTGGCCAGTGTTGCGGTAGACACCGGTCCCTGAGAATTTACGTAAGAAGTCAGAAGGTGATCCGTCGAATGAGTTCGAAGGGGGTAGAGATATTGGTGTACCCCATTAGTGTTCTGACCACGCATAGTGTGGCGTCTGACACAAAGCATGGGTATGACACTGAAGACGAATCCGACTTAGTTGTCTCGACATGGTAAAGGTAACCCCGTCTGGTGTGAGAGAGAAACCATCCATATCGCAAGCCCTAACGTCTGCCACCGTCTAAATGAGGCGAGGCATAATAAGAAGGCTAGTTTGGCTGAAAGTTGCTTCAGTGACAAACAAAGGTTTGTCCGGTCATTCCCTAAGGAATCTCAGCACCACATCCACCTGCCAGAGGCGTGAATATTTGGGTGCAGGGATCTCGACAATTCGGCACCCCGCAGTAGTCGACAAACCAGTGTATCTTGACCTACTGGTCTGCCCTGTACCGGAACGTGCGCCGCCGACATGGCGGATCTGATCACGTTGAGGGATCGATATGACCGACCCAACGAGACCAGGTGTGACAGATAGTTGGGGATCAGTGGGACAGGTGCGGTAAAGGGATCGGAATCCCTTTCCACACACCAATCACTCCAGGCCGACCAGGCAGAAATATAGCCTTTCCTGGTGCCTGGAGCCTATGAGTCCCATAGGAGGTCTTAGTTGATGCAATAGGTCGTGATCTGACCAGGAGCCCCTGAAACCGTCCAGGCAACTAGTGCCAGTTGTCCTTCCATGACAAGGGAGTGGGCTTCCCCTCGAGGTCCCGTCAGAAGTAGAGGGAAGGTAGGGAGTAGTAGAGGGTCTTCGCGAGACATCTCCAGGCGATCCTGGAAATCACGGTTGGCCCTGCCCGAGGGGTGTCATGAGCAAGAGCGATATCCTGTGGGTGTGTGTGTGTATCGAAGCACCCTTGCTATTGTGGAGAACGGCTGGGTCGCGTTTGCAGGGGTTCATCCATCACCCCGTATCCGAAGGAAGAGTCAAAGATCGTCTTGCCAATTCAAGTTTGTATGTGAAGTAATCACCATCGAAATTCCATCCTCACTTCCGTTGACAGTGGGATCCAGTGGTCGTATGAGTGACCGGTGCGTACGTATCTCACCATCAGTCGTAGTGGGCCAGGGAATAACGCTTGTATGGAGGAGGAGAGGAGGAGAGGAATCCCACAATCCGACAGCTATCCTTATAGAGGTGCTCTTTGCCGTAGACTGACGCGGAACGTAGTCCTCCCAGCCGATGTCGAAACTGAGGAACTGGCCCGATTCAGATGGAGAAGCGATCTTTGTCTGTGTACAACGAAAAATCCATGGAGTCCCGAAAGTGAACGACAAATTTGTCTGCAAATGCAGTCTGGATTCGTAAAGAAACAGCAAGTCTTCCAGGTATACGAGGCATCGTACGCCCAAATTTACGGATGTGTGCCCTCACTGGTTACCGTAGGTTCGCGAGCACCACGGAGTCGTAAACTGCCGTGTTTGTCCTCACCATCGGAATCGGAGGAAAAACTTCAACGGTCCAGGGCAACGGGTACCGACAAGCGTGCGTCCTTGAGGTCCAGATGTGTAAACCAGTCGTTATCGCCTAGGAGGTCTTGTAGCAGACGAATTTCCTTCATCTTGCAGCATTTGTATACCGTGTAGGAGTTCCATTGATGTAGTCTCCTGGCTTCTTCTTGACCAGGAAAAAATTTGCTGGGGAAGCCTTCCCCTCCGTTGCGTGTTGAGTTGCGCACCTCCTGAAGAGGGTGCAGAATTTCCTGTCCACGAGGTGTTCCTGTTCCGCCAGCGTGCGTAATGGAGGTGAAGGGGCGACCTGCACGGCTGTGATAAAACTCTATGACATAACCTTGTACTGTCTGGAGAACCCAGGTGACTTTGGTAGTCGTCTCCCAATTCTGTAAAACAGAGACAGGTTGCCGGTCATAATATTGGAAAACAGGTAGTTATGTAGGTTGACACACTAGTAGATGAAGCGGATGGGTTCTTTTGTGTAGTAGATGGGAGAAATATGAGGACTGTGTGTATGATCTGGAACCTGTCGCCCAGAAGCGGCTGGTGGCTCGGATCAGCTACCGACCAATCCTCCCAGAAACACCTTTCCCCATAGGGTTGTGGAAGACTTGTTTTAGCGAGGTCTGGGTTTAGTGTGGTGAATAAATTCACATGTTTTTTGAGTACTGCAATGAACACTACGTCGAATAGAAGGACTTGTGCTTTTGGGCCGAATTCTTGTCGTTCCTAGATCCAATAGTGTGTTGTCGATGCGGCCCAGTACAGATTTGCGTCTGTCGGCGCATAGTGCGTCATTTACGTTGCCCAGGAGGCATATCGAGCATTGAGACCATTCTTTGGAGGTGGTAGGGTTGAGTTGTGTACCCTGGGGTAACTCGGTCTTGAGGCGTGCGCATCCTTCCATCCCCCGAGGGTTGCGCAGCCAATAGTGTTCGTCCAGGAACGTTCCGTCTTCGGCTACTCTGGTTTAGTGCCGCTACAGTTATCTCTGCCTCAGCCAGCGTTACGGAGTAAGGTTTCCCTAACGTACTTCGAGGAAGTGTGGGGAAGGTCTTGCCGTTCCATTTCCTCAGACGGTGAGCTGTCTTCGTGTCGCTCATCTACCGTGTCCAAATTACGTGGTTGGTAATAGTCTTCTTTGTCGGAAGATTGTGGCGGGCGGTGTTTGGATTCCCGGTGCTCCGCCTATTTGGTCTGTTCGATGGGCATCTTGCCCATGACCTTAGTGGCAGGTGGGCTGGAGCCCTTCCCTTGCCGTTTCGACTTAAAGGCTTGTGGGCCTGAGGTCTCCATCAAGCGGTGTGGGTTGGAGATCATAATAGAACCTTCTCCACTGAGGCCGTTACTGTGGCGTTTATCATCGTCTAGAAATCTTGGGAACGTTGAGAGTGTCCACCATGACTCGTTCCCGCCCTGTTGGGAGGTAGTGTGAGGGTCAGCACATAGGGGTGGTAGACTCCTGGTAGAACTGGGGATCACCCAGGTAAAAAGAGGGGTCACCTCTATTAGTTTAATCTGGCTACTGAGAGCCGTGGTGCAGGCGCGATTGACTGGTAGTGGTGTCGGTCTGGCTAGCCGGGTTCACCACAAATGTACGCCAGAGCTATATGCATGGTTTTTAACTATACAGGCTTACTATATAGGCGCATGGGGCCTGTCTCCATAAGGTCTGCAGCCGCAGGACCCATATCTATTAGGCTGGGTTCATCCCAGGTGGTGTGCCATGGTAACCCAGAGGACACCCATATTATATTTATTGGCGCCTTACAAGCATTGCATGCATATCTGGGAGTCATCCCAGGTGTTGTGCCATGAAATATTACCCAGAGGACACCCACGTTCCATATGTACACTAGGCGCAGTAAATATACATATATGTATCCCTGTGAAGGGTACACCGCAATACAATCAATTTTCTTAGTGATCCTGTTGTCAAATCGCATCCGGCATGGTACTGTTGCTTTAATGTAAAACTGACAGGTAGTGTTTAACCCCTTAGAGACACATGAGATGTGTGACATGTCATGAATCCCTTTTATTCCAAAAGTTAAACATCCATAGTCAAGGGGTAAAACATCCATATATGTCTGTAGTAATCAGTGGTAAAGTTGAGACGTAGGCTTCCATGCATATGATCGGGGTTCACCCCGGGTGGTGTGCCATGGTAACCCAGAGGACACCCACATCAAAAGGTAATGGTCTGTCAGTGACCTTGCATGCATATCTGGGGGGTCACCCCAGGTGGTGTGCCATGAAAAATACCCAGAGGACACCCACATAAATTTGCACCGTCAGGTACAGTAATATAATATGACCCTCTGTAGGGTACAATAATATAATATAATATGCCCTTTGTAGGGTACAGTAACACAGTATGCCCTTCGTAGGGTACAGTGATATAGTTGATCTTGTTATAGGTACAGTATATGTTTTGTATAACGACTGTGATATTGTATGGCTTCACAATAATACATAGATTGTGTGCCTGCTCATGAGAATAAAAATAATAATTGTATATAATTTTTTCCAGTATGCCATCTGATCCTGAGGAGATTATAACCATGTCTAGTATAACCCTAATTGGGGTATAGTAGCTGATATGACCCTAAGCAGGGCATAGAGACATAAAGGTCTGAAGTTGGCAAAAAAGGGGGGAATGCTTGTCCCTTTAAAGCATGCATTTACAATAGATAGGCAGCACAGCAGGCAGGCACTGGGCAAATATAAATATTGAAAGGCAAAAAATCCACTGTAACCTAATACCCTCCCTTAGTACATACTAGGGAGGGTATACAGATGTGGAGCCCGGCGGTCGGGTGATTTACTGATCCGCCGGGCAAGCGGGGAAGGCGGCCGTCCGGTATCTCGCGAGCCGCGAGATCCAAGATGGCCGCCGCCCGCGTGTGAAGGAGCGCCGCGATCGACCGCGCGGTGCCGGAACGACGAGGGAACGCAGTTCCCAGTCCCCCTCCACCCGTCCCCTTGCCGGCCCCACAAAAGGAAAACGTTAGCCGGCCCGCGGCGCGCGGCACTGACCGCCGTTGCTCGCGGGTACCGGCAGTGAAAAAGTAATAGGGGCCCAAAAGGAAACTGCAGGGACAGGGAGAAGGGAACAGCGAAAATAAAAAACTAAATAAATAAATTAATGAAATAAATAAATGAAATAAATAAGTTAGCTACATAAATAAATTAACTTAGGTAAATAATAGAACAATACAATCCAAAATACAGAGAAACAAACAATATATGTAAGCAATTGCCAGGGAGGCAAAATACTCTGACCTGATGTTGGCTGGAGCAGCAAAGAAAGAGGAAGTGATGTCATAGACAGGGCCTTTTATGGGCATCATAACTTTTTTCTGATTCGTTGTTATGTTTCTATGCTGCTGGAGTTTTCAGTAAAGAAAGATATGCAAATATGAAGCCTCTTGTCATGTGGTAAAATTACATTTTTAATACTGTATGATTGTCCTGTATTGTTAGATTTAAAACCAGTTGTTAGTTTAGATGTTGGCTTTGTCTTTTTACATGCTATGCAACATTTACAAAAACCCTTTCTTTTCAGTCATAAAGTTTTTTAGTTTATTAGTGGTGGCTTTAGTAAATTTTTTGGTAATATGCATTTTTAGGTTAGGGGCACCCCTGAAGATTACCTTTGGTTTATCGGGTATGACTTTACTTAGTATCTCATCTTCTTTCAGAAGGTGCCAGTGTTTATTTATTGTTCAATCTTTTTTATTGGTTTTATATTCAAGTAAATGTTCAAGTAAATAAATAACAGTGGTTACAGAAGAGAAACAATGGGTGTTGCAAGTATCAAATACACGAGTATCCATAAGGAAAATTATTGCGTTGTGAGTTAGTTGTACAGCACAAGGTATTTCACAATTTTCAATTGAGTATGACAAGTGAGTGGGTTTTGCAGAACCTTAAATTTGCACATTCACATTTGTATCTTTACATATTTGTTTTGTGCACTGTTTCGCTTGTGCCTATCTTAAACCCATTGTCTTGCCGTGTAGCGTAAGTGGTGGTGTAACCACTTCTTTGAGCTTTATATTTTGCTTGGTATGATTATGAACTTGGGAGGGGAAAACGATAATGTAGGGTGGACAGGGTGGGGGGGGGAGGGGGTTGACCTTTGTCTTCATATGCCATGAGGTCGAGTGGTGAGGTGTGCTTAGTTCTATCCATGCCCTAGAAGGCGTTGGTCCTCTGGTGTTCAGGTGAGGAGCATGTGGTCTGGGATAGGGACTGGGTCCCCTTGTTGAGTAGGCTTGATTCCCAGAGCCTCCAGGCTTCCCTCCAGAACGGTTTGGGGGGTCTAGTTAGTCTAGCCATAGTTTAGTATGTCTTAGTGTTTTGTACTATCTGGATGCATGAAGTTATGTCAGGGGGGGGGCCTCAGAGAGCCAGGCTCTGCTAATTGTAGAAAGAGCTGCTAGCATGACGTGATAGGCCAAGTATTTTGCAGCTTTTGTCATGTCTATTGGAAGGAGTTGTAGAAGGTAGGTCTCCTGGCGTAGAGGTATTGTTACATTTGTTGAGTCTTTGATTAGTGGCCCTACTGTTTCCCAGAACCTTGTGATTCTTTGACACGTCCACCATATGTGGTACATAGTTCCCGGGGCTGATTTACACCTCCAGCATAGGTCTGACTTGTCTGGGTCCATGCGTTTGAGCCTTGTAGGCACCATATACCATCGGTAGAGGACCTTTCTGGTTAGGTCTATGTGTGTATTGCATAGGGTGAGCGTCTTGTTTGCCAAGTAGATTTTTGACCACTGTGTTTGGTCCAGTGTCTCTTTGAAGTCTGCCTCCCATGCTTTAACAAAGGAAGGTTTCCCAGTGTGCGGTTGTCTTGTGATGAGTGCATATAGTGAAGAAATAATTTTAGTAGGGTTTTTTTGTTGAATACAGAGGTCTGTGATTTGTGGTGTGTGTAAGTTTATTGTTTTGTCTATTACGGTAGTTTTTATATGCAGTTGCTTTGTGAGCCAGGATTTTATTTGGAGG